GGGGGGTGAGGGTGGGGGCGATCGCAGGGGGTGGGGGTGGGTTTGGTGATCGGTCATGGGAGTGGACGTTCCTGTGATGGTGATCGTCACTGTGGCGGATCGGTTGTCGTAGGGGTGTTTCATGAACCTTTCATTTTCTATAAAAACTTCTTTGGAACATGGCAAATCGATGTTTGCATCTGTTAAAATGAACATCTAATTATGTTAATTGATATTGATGATGTCTACAGCTTGTTGTCGCTTCCTCTTTATTCCGCTTTTATTTGCATTTATAAATGTAATGGTAAGGGGGATGGAAAGGGGTCAGGGATGCTTTGCTTGAACCCATGGATGGTGACAAATTGAGGGATGTTAATACACTTCATTGAAAATGTGAGAAGGAAAGAAGGCAATAGAAATGAGACACACAACGTCGGGCAATTGTTTTCTTTTCATTCATCATCAAATAAGAAGATTAGCCACGCAACATAAAAAATTTACATGATACGTTGTTAGATTGTTGTCACACGTAGTAAAAGAAGAAGACGACAAAATTTACATGATATGTTGTTAGATTGTTGTCACACGTAGTAAAAGCAGAAGACGACATACTTTGGAATAAAAGGCCTTCATGATAACTTCAATCCCAACATCCGGAAAATAGAACACACACCCCCGAAATTGACTCCGACACCCAGACACATCACCCACGGTGACAACATATTACATGACAACTACGATCAGCACGTGCACGCGCGTGACGTCGTCCCCGCCGACGACATGTTGGACTGCGCCATCGCCAAGTTCGCCAACAACCCGAGCCACCGACACCATCCTCACGGGAGTTGGGTGCGCAGTACGAAAGAACACCAAACAAAACTGTCGACACACGCCGACTCATGCACGCCAACCCACAACGAAACAACCAACGCTCTGTGAACTCCCCAGTTCCACAAAACGGGGCGACACACACAACGACGGCAACGCATACGATCACCCCATCAAGGACAAGACACCTCCCTCATCGTCCGCTCTATTTCTCGCCTGCTCCCTGCGTCCTATGCTCGGATTTCTCGCGGCAGCCACGTCATCGCAGCCGCCCGCTCCGCACGCCTGCCCGTGTTCACTGCGCGCCTATTCGCTTTGCCAGTGCATTCCGCAAAATGAGCGCATCACCACTCGACGACTCCATACACATCGGCCTCAAGGGCCGCTACATCCCAAGGTCCACCCTGCAACGCACACCGTCCGGCCCGACCTCCCACAGTAGATTGTCGTCGAAGGGGATCCCCTCGTCCATACACATTCGCTTTGCAACTGCTGCGGCAATGTCTCCACGTTCGTCATGTGGGAGCGAAGGAACAACCTCCACATCCCCTTCAGTCTGCCGAAAGCCCTTTCAACTGCTCCCCTCACTGTCTTCTGCTTGTTCTCGCAGCCTATGAAACACCCGCGCACGCATCCGCGGCCGACCTGGTCCGCGCCGAGGACCCAATTTTACCAGAATTTTCCTAAATTAAATAATAGGTTAAAAACAAAAAATAAAATATAAGGTTGTAGGGAATTTTAAGCCCTACAACCCCTTTTTTGTTTTTTGGAATCCGACTTTGTTTAGGATTTTTAAGAAATCAAAAACTAAATTCGATTAAAAAAAAAAAAAAAAAAGCTGGATTTTTTTTTTGTCATTTTTTATTATGAGATATATGGTCCCTGAGTTCACCTTTATTTTTTTAGAAATTAATTTCTGTTTTTTGCAGGGGTATGAGGTGTTTAAAAAAAATGCAGATGCAAAATTTGAAAATAAAGAAAGAAAAAACTTCAAAAAAGGGGTTTGATTGATTGATTGATTGATTGATTGTGAGTGGGTGAGTGGGTGTGTGTGTGTGTGTGTGTATGTGTGTGTGTGTGTGTGTGTATGCGTGTGTTTATGTGTGTGTGTGTTTTAAGTGTGTGTACCATATGCACGCCAAGGCAAGATCCTACACCTGGCCAATTCTCCGATGAATCGGCACATTCTTTAGCTTGGGAATCATCGCAAGTATGGCTTCCGCTTTTGATATGGAAAAGAGGGGTTCTACTCATGGTTAAGTGCGTCCCGCGAATCGTTAACCAGGGGTCTGTTTTAATTAGCGGACACGACAGGCTAGCAAGTGCCCCTGGATAGTCCTTGTGCGATCCCTTCGCCATTTGTCACCAGAGGATACGACATCTATCCTACCAGTCATCGTTCACGATCAGACTTCTAAACAGCAAAAAAATTGAAGAGAAGGGGGAAGGCTTAAGAAGGACTTTCAGCCTTCTTCCATATTCTACGAAAGAACGGCGTGCTCCATTTTTTACCGTAGCGTGCGCAATCTCGATTATCCCCTCGTAGTGTCGTGAACAGTGCGGTGCTATACCCCATTAATACTTCGGTCGTGCTCCTATTCCGGCGGACTTAAGGCGCTTTTCGCCTCCCTCTAGATTTTATGACGTTTTTCCTTAGATTGGCCCATCACGAGGGTCGCCCGTGCATCTTACCACAGACATTAAGGTGTAAGCGATGATCATTGCCCCGAACCGTTTTGGGGGGGTCCGTCTGGTTGAAGCCCATCCCAAGGAGTACTTTCACTATATCCCC